TATATATATATATATATATATGTGTGTGTGTGTGTGTGTGTGTGTGTAATTTTAAGCTTATTACTTCTAGAAAATAAAAATAAAATTCTTCTAAAATATAAAACTATGTTAAATAAACTAATATAAGCACTAATTATTTAATAGAAAACTCATGAAATACACAAATATGAAAATATTCACACTTGAACTTGCTTACTATAACTTTGAAGACAATATACTAACATATCTAAGTAGTTTATAAATATTTAAAAATAAATATTATTTATTTAAAATAATTGTTAAGATCGAAAATATTAATTTTAGAAGGTTTAAATATATTTTAGTCCCTATAAGATGAGTGATTTTGATTTTGGTCTTTGTAAATTTTTTTCTTTATTTTTCATCCTTGTAAGATTTATAAAGATTGTTTCCTACTTGTAAAATGAGTAAAAGATTTTTCTTTGATTTTCATCCCTCTAAAATATAAATTCACTAGTTTAATTATTTTAAGGTAGATATTAATATTTATTTTAAAAAACTAAAAAAAAAATTAGAGGTGTTAAATATCAATACAATAATAGTACGTACTTGTTGTAGGTGACACCTAAGATAATTATTTATCTTTTTTTTTAAAAAAAATAAAAAGTAGTTAAAAATGATTACATAAAAAATAAGAATTAAAAATAAAAATTCCAATTTTAGAAAATGAAAATAAGAATTAAAAATAAAATTAGAAATAAAAATTAAAAATAAGAATTAAAAATAAGAAATTTTTGACGGATTTATATTTCTGACGAAAATATAAATCTGTCGAAAATTTCCGACAGAAATATTCGTCGAAAATTTTCTGTCGAAAAATATAAATTTTCCGATGAATCCATATCCGTCAGAAATTTTTTGTCAGAAATTTGCGTTTTTCTTTTAGTGAATTTTAGCTTTACAATCTTAAACCTATAGCTATAATAAAAAAAAATCAACTTGTATAACGAAATTAAAATTTAGGAGATTCAAATGCCACCAAAAAATCTCCTAGTGACCTATCAATCATTTCTACGTCTTTTAGGGACTAAATTGGATATTTACTTGCATTATAGGGTTGTTTGTCAACATTATAAACCAATTTTATAAAGTAACAAAAATCATTAAATTAAATCATAAGTGTGTCTAACACTACAATCTATAGAGCTATTTTATGTTATCCCCAACATTATAATTTTAACAAAATATCTTAAGTGTTACAATTAATACTACAAAAATCTTATGTATACAGTGTAATCAACTTTAACAAATAAGAAAGACTCAATGAGACAAACAAAAAATGTGAGTTTCATTATTGTCCTTTGATACTAAATGAATGAGCTAGTTTCAAATAAAAAAATAAGTTGAATGAGTCACTTATCTTCTTCTTTTTTCATCTTTTACTACTAACTCAAATTTAATAACAATAATAATAATAATTCAATATTTGAATTAAATTTATAATTTTGAAATTTGAACCAATTAATAGTTTAAAAGAATCTAAATTTTTTTATTTAAATTTGATTGAATTCATTGGATTATAGAATCGCGATGACTATTTATCATATTGTTCATCAGTGCACAAATTAATAGTAGTTTTATTTATTTATTTAAAATATTTCAAATTACTAAAAAGTCCTTTTTTTTATAAAGCTAGGGTTTCACTCAAGCGATAACAAGCTCACAGGCGTTGTAGACAACATGGTGGCGATAGCTGTCGACAATAGTGGGCTTGGCGCACACGTCGCAAACGACAAGGTGGTAGTAGCTGTCGACGACAACGAACTTGACATGGGCTACACAAGGAGTCGAGTTGTAGGAGAGGGTAGTAACGTGGAGTTCTCGTAAGTGGCGTGAACGATTTTGACGGCAGAGTTAATAAGATTTCAGTGAAGAAAGGGGAAGGCAAAGGGATCTCGTTCATACACAACTTCCTCACCGAAGTCAAGGTTCACTACAGTCATCGGAGTCAACGCTCACTAGGAAGAAGTGTTAGTGGCTTGGGACTTGTGCTTTCTCCCTGGTGTTTACACTTTCTCCCTCTTCGTTGTGCACCTTCTCCTTCTTCGCTCTAAAGCCGAAGTCCGTCTACTTCACCTTGGCATCTATCACAAAGACGTTGTTGTCAAGGACAAAGGTGCTACAGTAGGCAAGGCCATAGAGCTCATAGGCGACAACGATCTTGTTGTCAATCTTAAGGTGTCCGTAGTCGAATGAGGAAGGGAGAAGAAGCCCTCGAGCAGACCGAAGATAATGTTGTTATTGAGGCTAACAAAATTGAAGAAGAAGATTAGAGTTGACGGAATTGAAGAAAGAGGTTAAGGTTGACGAGAATGACAATTGGGGTGTCGAAGAAGAAGATTGGAGTAAATAATAGGGGTGATGAAAAAAAAATTAGACAAAATAATCATTTATTATTAGGAAATAAAATTAATACATTAATAAAGATTTTATCATCAAATAAATCTAAACCAATTTAATTATTCATATATCAAAGAGTATTTTTCACTTTTCCACCGATGAACCATATGAAAAACATATTTTATTTTATTGGTTCACCCATGTACTATATAATGGATTGATCCCCGACACAAATCGCCTCATAGAATTGGATGATGAACATTGCTACAGCGTTCGAAATTTTGTCCGAATCATGGTTCGAAAAATTAAAATATTAATATATTTTAATAAATTTATTATAAAATAATTATTTAATTTAATATTTTATAATTTAAAATATTATTTTATTCATTCGGAATGAATTTCGGCATACAGATTCGGAGGCTCAATCATTTTTCTTGGATGATATCGGTTGCCACCCAAATTTAGAACAACAAATCAAAATGTAGAGGAGCACGAGGGGAGAAAAAGTGTTTATGAATGATTGAATTCCGAACAAAAAAGAGCTATCCGTGACTGTGAAATGGATTGGGTCCCCAACATCCACTTAGGCCCAAGCCTAGGCCCAGACCCAGACCCAATAGTGCTGCTTGTTGTCTGTGACTGTTGCAGACTCTTTCGGTTTCGTGAATCCCATCGGAGCCCGCAAGCACAACACAAGCAAAGAAAAGGGCGCTAACAACACACACTCACATCGATTGAAGCGGAGAGATCTCAATTCTCAGTCTCAGGTACCTCATACCACTATATTTGTTTCGCAACTCACTTCCATAACTGTTAATTTTTATTTATTTATTTCGTTCTGGTTTGATCATCAGCTCCATCCTTGTTTTGTAAGTTAAGCGATTTTGGTCTGTGATTGATTTGGTTACTAATTATGTATTTTATTTTTATCTCGTGACGTTTCCAATTTGGGGAAGGTTAAGATGATTTTCATTATCTATTGTAGTGAAACGCAACCCATTCATGGGCTGTTTCAACTCAACGGCAAGCAGACAATTACCCGGCCACGAGGACCCTGTAACTCTTGCATCACGCACCGCATGTAACCTCTTTTACTTCTAAGTCCTTATAAATATAATTCTTCTTCAACATTCATTGCTATTGCATTTACCCTCCTTAATCATTTATAGCCTTTTTCCCCATTCACGTTTATAGAATTCTTGGTCAGATATATGTTCATTTTCTAGTTTCAACTTGTGTCTCATTTCATTTCTCACTTTTCAGTCAGCGTTAGTGAGGTTGAAGCACTATTTGAGCTTTTCAAGAGCATCAGCAGTTCTGTCGTTGATGATGGATTGATAAGCAAGGTACCATATACCTAACACAAATAAATGCCTTTTGCAAAAGTTACTTATTCTATCATGCTTGTTTCTATCTTCCCTTCTACAAACTTATCAATGTTTCACGGAGGTCCTATTTTGTGAATTGCCTAACAAATTATGCAATTTGTTATTTGTTATAAGAATTCAGGTCATTACCCATGATTCATGATGATAGTTTGATGTTAATTTCTCCATATGCTTCCATATAACTATCTACAATATGTTCTCTTTTCTATTTGAAGTTCTTTCTCAATTGCCACAACATGTTCTCTTCTTTTATTCGCTGTTATACTTGTAGACACCCTACAATTTCATAATATTCTGTGTTCCTCACATTGAAATCTCAAGCACATGTTTTCATTACCTATTCTTCTTTCTTCGCAGGAAGAATTTCAATTGGCACTTTTCAAGAATAGAAAAAAGGAGAACCTTTTTGCCAATCGGGTACTTTGTAACATCACTTGGCTTTCTTAAAAACTATGTTTGATGATTGGGCTTACATGTGAATGTGTGCCAGCAAACATGCACTATCACATGTGACCAATGATTTGCAATGCACTCTTTGGATCGATGATCTGGCCGGCTTCACTTTAGTTGTCAAAATTTAGATAGTAGATGTGAAGAGTACTCTTGAAACAGATATCAATGTTTGTTTAGCATTTAAATTTTGTTCTAATTTTTTTCATTGAAGTATTATCCTTTTCTTGTGGCAATTCTTCATCTTCAAGCAGCCTTTTTTATTAACTTGATGTGTATTGATATCAAAATTTTCTCCATGCAGATCTTTGATTTGTTTGATGTTAAGAAGAAGGGGTTCATTGATTTTGGTGACTTTGTTAGATCCCTCGATGTCTTCCACCCAAATGCTCCACAAGAAGACAAGATAGATTGTAAGTTGAAGATTAATCCCTCGACTGTAGGCTATCCTTGATTCAATATTGTGATCTGTATTGATAGATAGGGTTTGGGATTTTCTTGTAGTTTCATTTAGGCTCTATGACTTGGACAGTACAGGCTTTATAGAACGGGAAGAGGTAAGATGGTAATTGCTGTTTACACCTTTAATGTAACTAAGTGTTCTTACTACTTTCAGTTTTGATGAAATCTTATGTCTTACTACTACACCTTTATATGCCTATTAGGCTATTATTTTCTGTGTGCATCTTCATTTTTTTTTTCTTTCTTTTGGGTAATTTCTGACAGGTGAAGCAAATGTTAATTGCACTTCTTTGTGAGTCTGAAATGAAATTGGCGGATGAGACAATAGAAAAAATACTTGATAAGGTATATGCTTGATGTTTTTAGATATTGTATAATGAGACACACATAAATTTTATCTACAGAATGAGAAGAATTATAGGTTATGGATGTTTTGTTGTAACCTTTCTATCAAATAATAAGAGTAGGCCTTTATTTTGGTCCATCAAAGATACAAGCACCATCACTCTATTTCTTAAAAAAAATATATTTATTTCGTCCTTCAATTATGCAAAATGTCATTAAATCGGTCATTGTTGAGCTGAGGTCTGAGAGAAATGAATATAGTGGAGTAGCAATTTAATTTGATGACATTTTGTATGATTAAGGGACTAAATTGATGATACTTTTTATTAAGAGATTAAGTTGATGTAAAAAAATATTTAGAGCAGGGAAATGGTAACACTTTTTATTATTGATGGATTATTGGATTACATTGATGACAAAATTATCTCTAAGAACTAAAATGATGATACTTGTATCTTTGGAGGATGAAAAATTGATTGTAGTCTTGTAATTATCTTCACACAATAAAATGGTGTAAACCTATTATTGTAAGTTTGGTTTTAGCTCATTTAAAATGAAGGAATTACTTTAGAGGATTAAATGAAATGATAGTGATGGAAAAATCAAGGGTCAGGATTTTGATAGAATACTAGCACATGGTTGACACAGGTATTTGCTGAAATATCAAACCATTGATTTTATGGCTATCGATAGAAACTTTTTTCCTCTAAAGTGAATTTTTACTTTAGAGGAATCAAATTCTTCTATTTTTATGGTCAGACTTTCGTGGATGCTGATCTGAATCAAGATGGGAAAATAGACAGGCTCGAATGGCAAAACTTCGTTTCTAAAAATCCATCATTGTTGAAAATCATGACCCTTTCTTATCTGAGGTATGTTTATAATAGTTTTTGTTTAATTTTGATGCGTTTTGAGTGTAAATTATGTTATATGGTCATCAAGTTTTGCTTTGGCTCTTCATCTAGGACCAATTTCTTTGTGAATTTCTTAAGAAAAAAAATCTTTTAAATAAAAGTTGTGTTTAAGAAGTTTTATAATTTTTTTTTTTGCAGCATTAAGTTATTTTTATTGCTTTTTCTCGGAAATTTTGTTTTTTTTAGTTAAGATAGAAAGTTACAAAGATGGTATGGAGATTGAACCTAGATTTCCATGTTTCTACTACCCTAATTCCTTTTTCCAACCACTAAACTAACTTTTGTAGTCCCAAAAAGAGGTATAACTAGAGAATTTATCAAGAAGTCACCCATCCTAGTACTACATAAATTAATAATTTATTCTCTTTTCTTGAAAGTTAAAAGAGGGTAACTTAAAAGAATCTTAAATAAATATTACAATTTTTTTTTTTAAAAAAGTTGTACATACTTTATCAAAATAGCACACTGTTAATTAGTATGACTATGTTAACAATTGAACGAGATCTTAAACATTAGAACTAAAATGTGCATACTTTATCACATGCAAATGTGAAACGTTTCCTTGATAGTGCATTCTTAAACTACATGGTTAATTATCACATTCTAATTTATGTGGTAAATATTTCAATTGCTTTCTTAAACTATAGTTTAAATTATTGTGAATTTAATACAGGGACATAACAACAACTTTTCCAAGTTTTGTATTTAACTCCGAGGTCGATGAAATTGTTACATGAATGCATACAGCTTTAAGTTGTGCAAGTAGTTGGAAAATCTGGCATATAACGTATTTTTTGTACAACAGTACAAGGAGGGTAAAGTGTTTGGTGGCTCTTTCTCAAATTTCATATGATGCTTTGATTATTTATTGTTCTCCTGTGACATGCCTCAGAAGGCAAAATTTAAGGTGCACAAAGTTGTTTAAAATATGGAATATTCGTCCAATTTTTGAAGTGAGAGTTAAATATTCCTATATACTAATTTTCCAAGTTACCCCTTTTTAGAAGAAAAAATAAATCGCAAAAGAGCCATTAAATTACCCCGTCATATCTTCATCCTGCATTAAAGGAGGAAGACCCTCACATGTAAACCTATTTACTTACAATACCAGATAAAAATAGCGAATGCAAAGAGCCGTAGAGTTTAAACCAGAAACTTGGAACTCGTCGCCATTTTTAACACCTATTCTTAACCTTGAAGACAGAAAATTAGGGGTGTTCATGGATCAGTTTTTTTAAAAATTCGAACCAAATCAAATCGAACCGTTTTATATAAGTGAATCAGTTAACCGATCTATTTTTTATAAAGTGGATCAGTTTGATTTTTTAAAAATATGGATTGTTTTTTTGAAATTGGATTGATTTGATGCGGTGCAGTTATTCACTTTTTACTCTTATATGGATCGACTTTTTTAAAAAATCAAACCGAATTGAATCGATCTACTTTGTAAAAATAGGTTGGATAACTGAACTTGTTCTCTAAAGTGGTTTGGTTCGAATATTTTTTCAAAATGGATCAGATTTTTTAATAAGGATTGGATCAGTTATAGATTGGTCCGGATCAATTTGGATTTTTTTGCACACTCTTACAAAAAAATAAAATAGTTTCGCGTGCTTTGCTTAAACTAAGTCACCTACCACCGTACTCCAAAACTCTATCGGAAACAACCATTCACACACAGGCTGCCATGAGCCACTATTCCATTAAAGCATCTCCGTTCCCTGCAAACAGAAACCCAAGCCGCACCCGCCATTTTCCACCGTTTTCCTTTTTACATTTGATTTCTTACACTTATTTGATTGTGTGGAAGTTGAACGGAGGGGAGGGCTGGAGAGAAGAAAAGTGTTTATTGATATTAGGTGTAAGTTATACAAAATCTACACTGTTAATATATATTAATTCTATGGTTTACAATATATTAATATTAATACATATAGTATTAGTAACTTAGATTTACTCTTGTGACAATCAATTAAATATTTTCAATCAATTAAATCATTTGATTTGACTATTTGATTTATATAATTTTTGCTTCAATTAATTATGAAAAATTTTGAGTTATATTGAATATATGTAATTACTTTTATTTTTACATATAATTTTGTAACCAGTTAATAATTTTTTAACATAAATAAATGGATTAAGTTGTTTGAGTTAATTGGTAATTTGATTGGTTAATGTTTTTGATATGTTTTATTGTAATATATTATAAAGTAAATTGCATTATTCTCTTGAAAGAGATAAAAGTATTTCATTGTTTTCTTCATGTTAAAATATAAAATTTAATTTAGTTAATTTAACATTGTTAACAAATTACATTTTACTTCCTTTGAGAGATGCAAATTATGCAATTATTACATTATCATTCTTTCATGTGTTAAGATGTAAAATAAATTACATTTTTATTTCTTGGAGATATTAATATTATATTATCACTCTCTTGATATGTTAAAATATATAATTTAGAGTATTTAATATTATATTGTTAAATAATGTTTATTATAATATTTTAAAAAGTATTTTTAATTAAATATATGTTAGATATTTAGTACACTGCTTTCACGCATTTGATAAAAATTGTAAAATATATAATGAAATTTAAATTAACTTAATAAAATAATAAATAAAAATACAAAATAAATTATATATGTATATTTATATTTTTTTTATATTTTTTATCAATTGGAAAATTTTGACATAAAATTTTTCCCATTTATACTGCATTTTTATTTTCCTTTTCCTTAGTTCAAGCCTTCAATTTTCATAATCGCGTTGGTTTAATTTAAACAAACTTGTTTATTTATTTTTATTTTATATATCATGGGACATACATTTTGAGGGAAAGAAAGTAAAAGAGAAAGAAATTAAACCAAACATATAAAAACGAGAGGCAAATAGTCTATTTAGTATTCTAAAATTGATAAAGAACCTCCTTATTATATAAAAAGTGACAATTTAGTGAATTACATTTAATGTATCAACAAACACTTCTCACCTCAAAAACCTGAAGTAAAGATAGACAATGCAAGTTTGTGAGGAATCCTCTAAGTTTTACAATTGTTATCTCTACTCGGGCTACTTTATAAGAAGTTTCTTGATAAAAAGAAAAATATTTTTTGTACAATTTATTATCCATTCATTCTTTTTATAAAGATTTTTGTTCTTACTTGATTGTATCACGTCTTATTTGTAAGACAAAACAATATCTATAAAATTTTACCCAGATATAGTTGTTGTTATAGGATTGAGTCTAAAGAGACTTATCTACAAAATAATACTTGTTTGAGCATGAGGAGATTTACTTGTAAAAGAATACTTGTTTTAGTAGAGACTTGACTATTAAAAAAATACTTAATGTTAAAGTCTAAGAGACTTTGTGTAAAAGAATAGTTAGATAGATTGCTTGAAGAGAAAGTTCAAATAACATTTAAATTTGAGATAGAAGTGACTTATTAAACAAATACTTGTATCTTATTTAAAACAGTGGAACTCAATATGTGGTTTGATTGAGAACTTGACGTAGTCTCGATGATTTAGATGAACTAGTATAAAAATATCAAGTGATTTGTGTGCCTCTTCTCCAATACTTTTTACTGATGACATTACTACTTCATTATTTAAAAAATGAGAGTTTTTGATTAACGTTATTCAACTCTCTACTAGTATCTATCTTTTCTCCACATCTAATCTACAACTCTAGTTTTCCAACTTTTAACTTCACAATTTAAGTTTTCATATTTTATAAAATTCATAATTTTGATCTAATTATTAAATCACTAGTTATTAAAATAAGATCAAAAGCATAATGTAGTTTAAAATACTATCAAATATTAAGTATCATGTTTTTTTTCAATGTTAAGTCATGATCAATGTCAAGTCCTTATATATTTACTCATTCTTTATATAGTATGTGTCTAGTAAATGGTGTTTTATAAAATTAATTAAATTATTATGTTAACTATTTAATTATTTATGAAAAAAATATTTAATTATTTCTTTTAATTTTAATGATTAGTTTTGTGTTGTTTATGATGAAAATTCAATATAATAGGAAGTATGCACATAGTTTTAAGTAGTGGCAAAAAAATCATACTCGTGAATCAAATTTGCTATGAATTTTAAATGAATAATTAAATGAGTATCTACATAATAATGAGATGAGAACAAATAGTAAAATACACATATTTATGAATACTTACACTTTAAAAATATTAAAAATCTCTTATATAAAATAATCTAGTTTAATTTGTATTTACACTAAATATGTGTCATAATTAGTTATTTTAATATTAATATATGTTACAAAATCATTTTTTAAGATAAATATGTGTTTAAAATTATTTAATTTTAATTTCATTTTATTTCTTATATATTTATTTAAAATTTTATAATTTTTTCAAATATTCACATATATCCGCAGATATATACAAAAATTATGAGGTGAATACCTGCACTAAATGGAGTGAATTATAAAGAGCTACTACATGGTTCTATTTTATTCCATTGTCATTTCTAATCCTAAATTTGAACCCCAGTGCATAATTTGATGAATACAAAAAATGAATGAAGCACGTGGAGTTTGAGTGTGAAGACAAGGGACACGACAATGTGGTTGTGGTAGGCAATAAAGTATGGTTTGTAAGGGTATGCATGGTTCGGTAATTTTTATAAAAAAAAATCACATTGAACTACACCACGTTATTTTATTAAACTAAATAGGTTTATAAACCATTTGAACCACGTGAATAAAATGATTTATAATCAAACAACTTTTATAAACAGGTTCAGAATTGGTTTATAACTGGTTTCAAAATCAAATTAATTTTGAACTAATTTTAAGAATCGAACCAGTTTTAAATTAGTTTTCTTAAGAGAAAATATCTTTTTTTCTCTCAAAACTAGGAACAAAGTCATGATTAATATATTCTTTAGAGTCAAATTAAAGATCTTTTTCTAATTAGTTGACATTTAACTTGAAAACTAATTAAGTAGACAACACATTATAAAAAGTAGAAAATTATTTATTGTATTAAAACATTTTTTTTTAAGAAAAAAAAGTTTACTCAAAAAAGTCATAAATGCCAACTCAAAAGAATTCAAGAACTATAATTGTCATGTGAAAAATTAGGGAGAACAACATAAGGGACTAGGGAGAGAAAAAAGAGTTTCTTTATTATTTTCAACTATGAGATAACCTATTTATAAGCATAAATAATTACAAATAAGATAACAATATCAAGGTAAATATAAACAATATTAATAGATAACCACCATTAAATATTCATAACATCCTTTCTTGGATGTCCATTGTTTGTGAATGTGACTCATTAAAACTTTATTCTTTAATGTGGTATCATATATTGCCTAATTAAAAACTTGTTAGAAAAACCCAGTAGGACAAAACTACGACGAAGGACAAAAAATGCAGAATGTCTCCCTCTGATATAGACAATCATCTTTAAGATCAAAAAGACCAATCTCGTGTACCAACTGTTCAAAAATTTGTTCATTCTACATCTTTCATCTTAATCTCATATTTATAAAATTTGTAGCTTTTTTTGAATCTCAAGGGTTTCAAAAATGTTTGTGTCATCTACATAAATAAAAATTATGATAAACTCAATTTCATATCTTTTCATAAAAATACATAAAAAAAATCATATCTTTACTTATATCATTCTCTTAACATATATTAATTAAGACGATTATACCACATCATCCATACTATTTTAGCTTACAATGTAACTTACTAAATTTGATTGAATAATCTTCTCAATAATTTGTACCAATATTTTGGATATATTAAATCCTTTAATGAGTTTCGCATAAACTCCACTATCAAGTGAGTCATGAAGATGGTTGTAACACATTAAAAATAAATTGATTTCTTTATCATAACTTGACCGATTCAATATAGAAAAATGCAT